AAAAAAACCAATTTTCCAGGAGTCTTGGGAAGGGGGGGGGGCAGGAGTCTCAGGAGTCTCAGAAAATTGTTTTTTTTGTTTTTTTTGATCCTTTGCAGACTTCTTTATTTCCCTAGGAGTCTCAGAAAATTGTTTTTTTTGTTTTTTTTGGTTTTTTTGGTCCTTTGCAGACTTCTTTATTTCCCTAGGAGTCTCAGAAAATTGGTTTTTTTGTTTTTTTTGTTTTTTTTGGTCCTCTGCAGACTTCTTTATTTCCCTAGGAGTCTCAGAAAATTGGTTTTTTTGGTTTTTTTGGTCCTCTGCAGACTTCTTTATTTCCCTAGGAGTCTCAGAAAATTGTTTTTTTTGTTTTTTTTGGTTTTTTTGGTCCTCTGCAGACTTCTCTATTTCCCTAGGAGTCTCAGAAAATTGTTTTTTTTGGTTTTTTTGGTCCTCTGCAGACTTCTCTATTTTCGTCGAAAGTCTCAGAAAATTGTTTCTTGTTTTTTTTGATCCTCTGCAGGCTTTTCATGTTCCTTAACTAGAAAATGATTGAAAAACCTATGAATTAAAAACCCACCCCCCATGACAATCCCTTCTGTTTTTTAATCTGATGCCCTCAAGCAAAGCGAAGCGTACGATGAAGTGCCCAAATACACAATACAATTGCACCTCTCATGTGTGGATTCCAATAGATCACACAAAGATACACAAAGTAAGTGTATGCTGTGAAGATATGCGAAAAAAAATAGAACAATTCTCCGAGGACAGTTTTGAGGACAAACTCCTTGGTTTTCTTCTTCCTTGCCTCGTCTTCACCAGCATCATGCTTGCGCTTGCCTGTGGCGACTGCGATTTTTCACTCAATTCGATCGCTGTAAACACGATAGAAACATAACACCTCATGTTCTCGACTAGCTGGGGGAACGGGGGAACTGTGAGTTCTCGACTAACTGTGAGTTCTGGACTGTCGCTGGGGGAACTGTGAGTTGGACATCATGTTCTTTGTGTTCTTTATTCCCGACTCTTGATGGACCACAATCCTTTCTTCAAGTGGAAAAATGACAGTTCTATTTCCTTCCTTCCGGGCTTTGCAGGTTGTGCACGATCTTCTTCCAAAGGAGGAGAGGCTTTTGTGCCTAACAGAACATCAGGCTGAAGCCACCAAGTGGAACTCCTGACCTAAAACGAGCTCCAAACACGATGGATCAGTCAATTCCAAGAAACTGCAAAGGTAGTGTTTCCAGAAATTGTTTCATCCGCATCCCCCCATTTTTTTGCGGGACCAAACCAAACCCCCCAAACACCCATCCGCCCAAACTTGGGAGTCCCTGCCAAGCAAAGAGGAGGACCTCTTCTTGGAAGCCGAGCGGCCTCGCACCTCAGGCGTGTGAGCGAAATGCGAGGCACAGCTTGACGTCAAAACGACACAGGGGGTGCGTGCTATTTCAGATGTTACAGTAGTTGGGGGGGCAACCCTGAAACGGATTCTGCATCACGATCACGTTCTGGTTTTCGTCTGTGGATTCAGCTAGCAGCGTGAACTTGCCTAGCGAATCGTCTGGTCATGAGGAGCGGGGTCACACCTTGCACAAACTCCCCGGAATAATATTCATGGAGGTGTAGAATCGCCTGTTTGTATAATGCCATCCAATTGCCATCAATATTCCAGGGAGCATAGATGTCCCCAAAGTCCACCACTTTCCCAAAGGAAAAGAGTGCAGTATTTCTGGAAACGGGTGTTCTTCAGATCAGATTCAAATTCGTTGGATCGGAATCTATTTGGTCAGATAGGAATCGTAGGATCGGAATCTATTTGGCCAGATCGGAGTCGTAGACTCGACGTGCGCGCGCGCAACACCATCCCGACCATCCCGACCGTCCCGACCATCCCGACCAAGGATCCTATAGTGACGCTGATCCCGAACTTACGCTGGCTCGGCGAAGTCGAGGAAAAACTATTCCGACTGTTGTTACTAACTGGTTGCGACCAAGGATCCTATATCGTTGACGCTGATCCCTATACGCTGATTCGGCGAGGTCGAGGAACAACTATACCGACTGTTGTTGCTAACTGGTTGCGCACCGGCGATCCCGACCGTCCCGACCGTCTCGACCAAGGATCCTATATCGTTGACGCTGATCCCTAATTCGGCGAGGTCGAGTATAAACTATTCCAACTATGTTGTTGCTAACTGGCTGCGCATCGGCCATCCCGACCATCCCAACCATCCTGACCATCCCGCTAGAATCTGATCCTACGACGCTGATCCGGCCGATTGGAATCTGATCCCAGATGCTGATCCCTGACGCTGATCCGGCGAAGTCAAATCTGATCCGGCAATTGCCCTCTGGAAACATATTTGCCAAGAGACCAATATTTGGACCCTCTACACCTAGTACATCTAACCCCGGATTCTCTGGGCTTTAAATACGTGTGGGAAGAAGATGTAAACAGAGTCAAAGGGTCTATCCTATTACCTGTAACAGTGGATGATGATGGTTAGGTTGCAGGCCTTGTTCAAAAATGATGATAATTGTTTACTGACTGTCACAGGTTTCCTAGGACAAACCCTATCAACACTTTGTTGGGTCAAAGAGTCAAAGACTTCCGATATTGAGGGGGTCATGAAGTCCGACTAAACAACGTAAACAGTAAAACAACAGTGGAACCTACAGTAAACCTGTTCTTCTCCACCTCTTCTCCCAACCTCTTTGCGAGACACCCACCTCTTCTCCCCAACCACAATCAACTAGCAGCCTGTACATTTGATCGCAAAAAACAAACGGCGCCTTGGATGCATCCAGGCCGATACTTGTGAGCTTCTCTTCGACCTGACAATGAAGATTGTGTTCGACCGTTTGTTGAGTAGCAAATGGACGTTTCTTCACCAGATTGGTTGATTTGATGTGTGGATGATCCTTTCTGGTTTCGGTATGATCCTAGACAACCCTCGAGATGCCTCAAAACATGGAGTTCTTGGATCAATGTTGTGGCCACCGTGCACTTCTAACACGGTCGCAGAAGCATGTCCTCAACTGACGATCATGCCCTCGAAAATGGCCCGAAAACTGCTCATGGTTGGCGCCTGGTTGGACTTCTCAGATTCTTGAACAGTTTCATGAAAGTCGCACAAATAAATGTCAAACCAAATACAGTATAAACAGCACTCGGTATATACTATGTGTCCATGTAGAATAATACATAGGGGGGAAAACGCAAACAGCCAGAGATACGAAACTATGCACCAAACATGAACCTGCTTCCGTGTTGATCTTTTCACAATTCAACATCCAAACAAAAGACTCAGCTGCGAAACCTCCTCAGCCTTCTTGCGCGCTCTCCGTGGCGTGGGAACACCTGTCCTGCATCCATTCATCTGTTCAACTCCAATCAAAAACCGAAGAGTAAGGCTCATTTCTTTTTGAGGGAACCACACCCTACTATCAGGGCCCCCCTGAGGGTTACTGTTACTGGACACCCCCTAATCTCCTTTTGGAGCTATTCTGAAACACCCCTTGTACGAGGCCCTGGTAGCTTTTGGATGTTTTTGGCCAAAGCCCTTAATGAATCTTCTGAGCGAGCACCTAACACACCTAGACACAAATCATCGCATGTTGCAACTTTGGAGAGATATCCTCTCCACCCTGGTTTGGGGCATTTTGTTGTTGTTGTTGAAAAAACTATGCTTCCCCTTACAGAATTCATTGGCTTGGCGCTGGAATGAATCTTCTGACCCAACGTTTCCGAGAAACTAGACCAACAACACTGCTAAGCCTGGCAAAACGATCAAATCAACTGGTGACCGGCGCGAGCGAGGTTCACGGCGTCAAAACTCGATGCGAAGGCTTCGCCTTGTAAAAGCTCACCTTCGTTCACTGCAAAAACACAGAAACATGAGGCAAATCAAACATTAACAATCCAAAATCACTGGATAAAATCCAGATATGGTTTTCTCTCCATGAAGCAATTCCCAAATCTGCTCTCCTCGACTTGCCAATGCGTCGTTCCAGGCGTTTTTGACGCATCCTGCGTCGTGTGTCAGCGCGAGAAGCGCGGAAAGGTGCGCAGCTCACTGGGACCCGAAGGCGAGGAGGATATTCTCCGCTGGAGCACTATAAGTTGAAATTGATGATTCAATAACATATCCCTAGGGCTCCTGGCCCATATCCTCAGGTGGGAACAGAACCCCCTGGCACCTACCCCAACCATCTTCTCAGGTGGTTGGAGCTCTAGGTTGTTTAAGCTAGGAATTTATGTAATCCACAAGTCTCAAGTCCTAGAGCTTTGAACTTAGAGCTTGGAATCTATGCTCCACCCAAGGTACCGGAGCATAGATCCATTGGGATGGAAATAATGTTGAGAAAGGCGGGAGACGGCGAGATCCATTCAAATCGTCCAGAAATGATTCAAACACATCACCTGGTAATATTTCAAGAATTTCTATGTTTCTGCACCAAAGCTGTCCAGATCTTTAGTTGCATTCTTCAAACAGCAACAAGCCCCAAGAAATTCAACAAAAAACATCTTCGGAACAAAAAGCCCGGCGAACATGTCTTCAAGCCCCACGAACCCCGTCTCCATGCTCCAGCCGCGTCTCCTGCTGTGCACTTCGTCCAGGACCTTCTGTGTATTTTGAAACTCCCCGATGACCTGGCACTACTGCGACAAGTGCGTTTAACCGTTGAGCATTGCCACGCCTTGTTGTTTTGGGTGTTCCCTTGTAAGGGACCCAGCAACCAGGAAAAACACAAACTGCGTGAAGCAAGCATGTACCACTTAGGGTTCAGGGGCTGCTCCTGATTCAAGCACAACTCTAACGATTAAATTTGATATTTATAAATATATTATAGGATTAAATAACAATATACATAAATATATGTATATATATATTATATATATGTATGCTCGCATGATCTACGGTATCCGTTGAATTACCACTTGCCTTGCCACCACCCCTATTCAGCTACTTTCAGCTGGCCATGATATGCAAAAAGTACCTTCTCGGCATGGGTTTGGATGTTCTTCAGCGCCTCCGGCTGATCTTGCACCCTGGTGAGAACAAAGTCGTTGGAGCAGCTCGGTGAATTCTCAGCTCAGGTATATAATTAGATCTTTGAGTGAAAACAGGAGAAAAAATAAAAAGCACTGCGGTCCTCCCTTGATATTCTTGAGTAAACCCCCATGTTGGTGCATTTCACTCTGCTTGGATCTCTACCGCCTTGCATTCCCGCATTCTGCCGTCCATCGGAGGCCTCGTCATCGTTGCCCAGACTTGACTCGGCCATCAAGAGCGCCTGGCAATGGAAAAAAGGGTCATCCAGTGAACGGAAATCCCAAGCGCTTACTAGGTTACTTAGCTGTGAATGTCGTTGTAAATGTTGTATTGTAAAATGTAGTTCGCAATGCAGTTAGGAATGACAATGATTCATTTGGGTGTCCCTCAGTCTGTGGCTGTACGAATGTCATAGGCTTACTATTTATGGTGATGAATCAAACTCGGGTGTCTTTTGGAAACTGTGTGTAGGGGAAGTGGTCACTGTAGAACCCAAACTAGGACCAGATTCGAAGCAACACCAAATGAGCAACGAACAAATCCTCTTGGATTGGTCTTCGTCGGATGCACACTCAACCCAGTAATTGGATGCACACGCATGTCTGTTCCCACAACGAAGAAAAGAATATATAAACGGGGATGCTCACTCCTTAGAAAAACCTTCGTGGCCAGCGCTTAGGCAACTCCCTCTAGCTCGCAACAGCTCCCTGTAGCGAGGGAAAAAAAACATGGGAGAACCCCCCCCCGCAGCTTCTTAGAGCTACTCCCTCCGGACCACCAGGTCACCGTCCGGCTGTGGTCGGCTCACTCCGAAATATGTTTATTGGCAGGTTATTCTTCCTTCCAAATTGCACCGCTGCGCTCTGTGCAATCAAAAGCTGTTCCACTACAGCTGTTGGCACGGAGGGCACAATTTCAATAGTTTCATATCTCCACCCTCTTCAGGCTGCACCTCCTCTTTCTCCAGCTCTGCCAGCTTCCGGTCGATGTCCTCGCAAATAGTGGAAATCACATCATTCTCCCAATGGTGGCGTGTGTGAGGAACCATGGGACACATGTTTCACAAAGGATAACCCTGATAACTCCAGGTATTCTCCTTTAAACAATTTCACCGCTCATTCCCTCACCTGTCATCAAATAGTCAATGTAAACGCACAGTCGAACATGTTTGATACAAAAAACAATTTGCGCCATATGATGTCATGAATGGGGCTCAAAAGCAAATTCATTAGGCAGCCTAACTTGTTTAGGTACTTGCCTTGAAGTTCCCAGACCTATCTGCTGTTGCCGTCCACTCTGCTGGCCAAAATTGGTCAACAACTCAGGAAGCATCTCCACTTGGAAGGGTCTATCGTCGTCCATCCTCCTCTTTCTAGATCTTGGTCTTCCCTAGTGACCATACAATGACTCTACTTGTGACAACCTGAAGTTACTAACACACCAAACACGTACATATATAGATTTATTCATCATATATTTGTATATATATATATATGCCTGGAACTATGCCTGGAATAACATAGTGATGTAGTGGGCGAAGACCAAGCACATTTGAGTTTGGCACAAAGACAAACACCTGCATTCTTACTATAGTTTTCGCTGGATCTCTTCATGTCATGTCCCGACATCACAGATTCACCCAAACAATCCATGAGATAGGAACGCTGAACTACACTTCGAATTCCCCATATGGATTCTCCAAACATAACCCCATGTAAGAAAACACCAAATAGTCGATCTACACCATCACACCCATCCCTCTCCATCTTCGGTATTAATCGGTCTCCGGATCCACATAGTCGACGATGTTATGGCCGTCCATGATCTCCGGCACGATGTCGTACTTCCAGTTCGGGTCCTGAGAGGTTTGCCCTCTTCGCGGTGCGTTCCACGGGGGGTCGGACCGGAGGGCCAAACGGGGAAACGGCCATGACGTTCGATGACCCCAGGACTCCAGCCTACGTCCCATTATGTGGGAATTACATGGAATTACTGGTCTTTCTGGGCCTCATAACAGTACTTTTGCTTTACCCAAAGGCTTCAAAGGGTTGTTGACATCATCCCTCCGGTCTTTCATCCTTATCCCATGCTGATGGAAACGCTGCTTCCTTCGTGCCAAGGAGATCTCTTTGGCTCTTTGTAGCCTTCCCCTCGACTCGCAACTCAGAGCCATCCCTCCGTACCCCCGAACGACTCGGCGCCTCGAGGATGGCCCTTCGCCAGAGATCCACGGAGTAAACGCCTGCGCCGCCCAGCTCCTGACCGAGGGAAGCGAAACAAGCGAATTGAAGCGCCCAAGCACTACAAGCAAAACCACTGAGATGGGGCCTTTGATGCCCTTAATGTTCGGCAGGAAAATGGTTGGGGTGTCGATTAGGAACACTTATGGTAAGTGCAAGAGAGAACAGATTTGTATAAGTGGAAAAGATCTTACGGATTGAGACGGATTGAGGAGAACGCATCAAGCAGCATGGCGCTCTGTCCACATGATGGGAGAATAGAAAAAGGATGAACAATTCTCCAAAGTGCATAACTGCATAATTATAGAGAAATTGATAAACACAAAATTGATTAGGCCACTGGCAGCAACCAGTGGACCCGAAGCTCTAAGGTGCCCAGAAAGGCTTGTTGACTTCATCTCCCCGAAGTCCTAAGGATGCTTCTGAATGGGAAGCATGGCCAGTGGTGGTACCTCCATCAGCAACCTTGTGTTCCGGCACAAGTCTATTGCTGTATATTGTCGTGGCAGTGGGCAAGCACAGGTCGAAGGGATTTCAGGACAGCCTGACAAAGTTTGACTAGATCGACTGTTTCAGATTGTCTATCGACTGTTTCAGATCTTTAAATTGCGCCCACCCTAGCTCAAAAGCAACAGCTTCCAACTACTCTCCAAGTCACTAACACGGAAGTGGATGACAAGGGATCAATCCAACCTCTACACATCAGTGGATGTTCCACTTCGACACGTGGAAGTGGAGTTGGTCGGAAGAACCATCAAGCAGCTGAGTATAGACAGTATAGTGATAGTGTTTGTTTGAGTCGGCTGAGTATGGAACGAGCGAATGGATCCATCCACGGCTTCGCCGCCCGCGCCCCCCGTCGCGCCGGTCGGGCGCCTCCATTCGTTCTCTTTCCAAGGGCTCTTCTCTCGCCTGACAGCCATGAGCGCTCTTAAGAGAGGAGATGAAGAGTGATAAAGAGTGAACACAGTACTTCTATATTTTTCTCTTTCCAAACGGTGACATGGCTTTGCACAAACTAATCCATATGTATCCAGTAGATGCTGACACTGTCAAGTAACTTAAGTAACCGTTTGCTCCATCAAGCCCGCTTTAAGGCTTTGACTCGACAGCCAATCGTTCACATGTCATTTGCCCGAGCTCTGTGATCGACTTTTCTTGACGGTTGAAATTGTGTCCATTGGAGGTAAGAAAGCCTTCTGGACTCCAACCAGGCTTGGTTCCAGACTGTGACACTGGAACTTGGACCCCCATCAATTCAGCCCAAGAGAGCTGATCATGCGCATGATACCAAGGAAGAAACTTGTGTCTGCGTAGCCTTCCTATGCAAGGCACTCCCAGCAAGCAGGGCATCGCATGGTGAGGAATCAATGTCTAGAGGACAGCTAGGGATACTAGTCTATCTGTTGCCTCCCATGAAACGTGGCCGTGGATATGTTTCAGCCAAAAAGAAAGCACTGCCAAGTATTGTAGATTCACTGCGTCGAGGATCTGCCTCTTGGACATCCGCAAAGGCACCCTGCTCACTAGTGCTTCTTGACCCTCCGACGAAAAGGACCAAAACCCGCCTCCGGATCAGCACCCTGCCCTGCCCTGGGCACGGGGGCGTGCCAATGCGAGGGCACTCGGGGGGATGACCTGCTATCTACCTAGTGGGGGTAGCTGTTATCCTACCTATCAGCCACCCAACGACAAAGACAGTCACTTCTAATGAGCACGTGCATGTTCATGCTCAGATACAAAGAGTATGAACAAGCTCAAGCAACTTGCCATGTCTAAATTGTGTTATCGGCCACACGATTTCAGGAAGAAGTCACCTAACATACCTACAGTAGGACAAAATCCTGCACCACATAAGCTATGAATCAAGCATCTTCAAATAATTATAACTATAGTATATATATGGTACGCGGACATACACACAGAAACTGTTCCTCCTGATGCAAACGCCAATGACTTCCTCGAGCAAAAACCCACTGGGCAGACCGAACGCTTCGCGCTGTCTTAGAACAGAGTTGGGGATGCAAGGCCTGATTGCGTTGGCGAGCGAGCATAAGCTGTGGACGGGGTGGACTTGATCAAGTTAAGTCCTGACAGTATTCATATATGTCTTCATTAAGCACTTGATCACATGTTGTGCAAATAAGACAGGCTTTATTACGTTGCGCGAGCAGCTACGAGCCGTAGGTCGTGGACTCTGAGATTCTGCGCGAGGCTTCCAACATTCAATCTATACAATGCATTTCTGGCGTTCGCCTCAATTCCCCTGTGAAAGGTCAAAGGAGCAACCGCATTGGACCCATTTGTTCCAGGGAGGGGATCAAATGAGCAGACTTACTCTTCTGGTGTTGAAATGTCCACCCTCTCTGCTAGCCTAAGCTTCTAGTTTGGAGCGGCAGCAGTGCACGATCCGCAACAAACAGGCAAACAGGTAAGGTTTGGATCAGGCTTGGCTTTACGATGATGCATAAAGAAGCATCCCCGAACAAGTCAAACACTCCCAAACTCCACGCAACCCCCCCCAAAAGCCTGAAACAACATGAGCTATAGTTCTGACAACTCATCCGTGGGTTTTTTCGCGAAACGTCGGTTCGCAGGGATTGCAATTGATTTGGCCGATGCGTTTTTCATCAGGCGTATATGCATTTGAGAAGTGGAATCTAACAGTGGGATTTTCAGTAATAAGAAACGATGTGGTTTTCAGGCTCCACCACCCAAAACATACAGTATTGTCACGTAGAAATCCTGAAAGCTGCTGTTGAAGAAAGGTTTGAAGCTTGAAGCACGTAAGAAATCAAAGGAACACCTCTGAATTCATAGCATTTTCAAGCAAAACAACAAAGAAGGTTCTCAGAATGAATTGCGGAGGTTGTGGTCAAACTGATGGCGTTCCAGTATGCAATAAACAAATTAGAAGAGTTGGGCCTTAACCAATCAAGGTAAGTATGTGTCAACCCCTATCCACCATCCATGGTCAGCCATGGCGACGGTGCGTGAATTGAGAAATCGCTTGGTGACGATCAAAGACCGGATTGCCAAGCTCTATCCACTGGTGGCTGAACATGGAAGCGATGCACAGAGTGTGGATTATGCATTTTCGGTGATGGAGTTGTCTGATTTGATCCAATCTCAGGATCAGGATCAGGCTACTCGGGCTACTACAAAACCAAGCAAAGGATATTCCATTCTGAAGTTGTTCAAGGCCTTCCAATTTGCACTGACATTGCGGAATGCCAGCAAGACCCAATCTTAGTTGATACCAAAATCACCATGCCAATAATACATGACATATATTTATATACTGTATAAGTGTATATATAATATATAATATATAATAAACCCTCTTACATCTTACACATACAGTTTGCTCAGGCTGTTTACAGTTGGGGTACGCAGATGCACTAGTATGTGAGCGCTTTTGATGGGCATCCTCCGCTTGATCGAATACTTTGTAAATTGAGCTGCGTAAAGCGCACCCCGAGGATGAAAGCAGCGTTGACTGCAGCAGCAGCATTCATGGACGACAAGCAAGCAGTCCAAGATCTGTCGGCCGCGGAAAATGAGTTTTCTGTTCCCTCTGGCTCCACCATCAGAGCCTTCGTCAAGATGCCTGGGAAAGCGTTATTTTGCTTAGTTCTTTTGATGTTTTGGTCCTGGTTGGTACCCAGATTGATTTGGTGTTGATTGAATTGTTTTTGTAACGAAGCATGTTACAACATGTTATCCAATTTCCTCTGACTCTCTCCTTCCCCTCACCTCCTTCAACCCATGCCTCAGATTTGAGGCAGGAGCCGGCTCAGATTCGAAGTCAGCTTTTTACAACTACGGCAGCAGCAGTGGCGGGAGCGTTTCGCTGACCACAAAAATCAGTGGTTCATCAATCTCAGTGTCTCAGCTAGTTATCCCCCCTCCTCGAAAATGGAGGATCGAGGGGGGGGGTACCTTTAGGAATTCCATTTTAATATTCCATTTACACAGCCAACATGTTTCCAGTTTTATCTCCGCGTGGCCCCGAGAATTTTTTGACAAGCGACGCGGTTGAATGGGAAAGAGGCTTCAGCAAGCTCACTGAATACAAGTCTGAGCATGGAGATGCCAGGGTGCCCACCAGATTCAAGACTTTTGATGGCTTTCCGCTTGGGCAGTAGATTAAAACACAGGGAAAGAAAAAGTGCCAAGATCGTGTGAACCGCCTGAATTCACTTGACCATGCTGGCATGATTGAATATGATGGTCTTGCTTTGAATGTAGCCAAAAATCAAAAAAAAACAAGGAGCATCGCTTACGCCCCGCGGGCGTAAGCAACGCGACCTTTTGGACGGCAACGCGGTCCCACTGCTCGGAGCTCCCTGAGGGTCCGCATCGCTTACGCCCCGCGGGCGTAAGCAACGCGTCCATGCAGTGTATTAGGCAACGCGTCCACGCAATGTAAATCAAGGTCTGCTTCTTTGATTTAACGCTCGATGTAACAAGATATACAACCCAACACTCGCTTGTTTTGCACTTCGAAATGCCAGATACCTGGACCCCTATCCAATGCTTTTTTTTGTTCTCGACCAGAAACAGGACGCAGCCCGAAAGAGACCAAAAAGATGACGCCAAAAGATCAAAAACACAACCGAAACGATGCAAAATATGATGCAGAAAGTGCAAAACAGGTTGGGTAAGTGCAGGCTGGTGCTATGGACGACACTGAATATCACTGGATCTAGACCGTTGCTAATGCATCATCAGGGTCAAAAATGGATAATCCATTTTCTGTTGGGGGTCCGACCCCCCCCACCCCCTGGGGTAGCAGGGGTAGCTAGTTCCAAGTCCAACTCTTTGTGGTAGAACCTACATTGGGTCTTGCATTAACGCCAGTGTTCCCCTGCCCGCTTCTGATTCCGCCACCCGCCGACTAAGATTTGATTGCGGTGAACTGTCATATACATATGGCAAGGTAAAGTGGGGATAGTGATAGCGGAAAAAAGAACAACTTTTTGATTCTGGACTGGGCAATTTGCACTTTCGGTTTGACGTGAATTTCATTGAGGCTTTGATGCCTCGCAGCTCAAAAGGGACGGGGGCTCAGTGGTCTCAGTTGCCAACAGCACAAAATCCACATTGGTTTAAAGTTTTAAGGGGTCTGATCAGATCCGATGCAGCTGCAGACTGCAGACTCCATACGAATACAAGACCAAGATTCAGAGGCTCAGTTCAATCAACAACGCAGGGACGCTTTGTGATTCTTCTGAGGATTGGTTCATGACTCTGGAATCTGTTTTCTGTGGGGAGAATGCGCTTGAAGCATTTCAGCAGCGGTATGATCTTATGAACCTGTCCTTGCAGAAAGAGCTGACTGGGGAACAACCCTTGGAGATTACCACTACAGAACCTGCTGAGCCCAGCCTTTGCGAGCAGGCACGTTGGCAAACACTTTTGGATCACTTTCGGCGAACTTAAACAAACAGGCCTGTGGAGGAAAACATCATGAGCGTCGCCCAGCCATTCTAAGATAAAAACATACGCCCCACTTGCGGACTCTTGCTGACATGTAAAAAATCTGGCCCGTTGAGGCATGTTTGGGGTATGTATGTTTCTCTCCTGGGTCCTGGGATGGAACATGCGGATGTTGAGGTGGAGAGTCTCTGCGAACTAGGGCAACTTCCGAAGGACCTGTCATTGCAGCCAAGAAGTTATCATCATGAACTTCAGCCCTTGATTCCAGTGATTCTAGGGCTTGGTTACTCAAAGCTTCGCCACAAACTCGGAGCTTTGATTCACCAATTTGCTATTGAAGCTGGCCGTTCCGAGCGTGTTCTGAAGCGGTATTGTTCTTCTGTTCTCAGCATTTGCACAGACATGGGAGCCTGGGTTGGATTAGCCCGACCAGCCCTCTAGAGGTAAACGTCAACCAAGAAAGGAGAGGCGCACAGTCACACCTAATGACACGGGTTTTGGGATATTTTGGGCTTTGGGCAAAGTTAGCCGAACCTTGAGCCATTTGCTGTTTATGGCTTCCTCTGCCCAGGAGTTGAGTCTTCAATCTACATGGCTCCAAACATCGACTTTCAGAAGCATTTGGATAGCGAGGCCCAAGCATTGCGCAATGAAAGCAGTTGTGCGGACAACACGAGTTTGTGGCAGCCACTGCTCCAGAGCGATCCGCTGGTTTTACAGGATGGGCTGCACATGGATGACATGCAAGTAGTGGAGAAGCGAATCATGGCAGAGACACGAGTTGTGGAAGCGTCGCTGTGTTTGACTGCGCGGATCTTTCCGAACGCTATATACACACCTGGGCTGAAACATGCCATGGATAACTTGTTGAGTGATGTGTGGGCTGCAATGTCGGGGAAACAAAAGTTCTTCAAGCACCTTCATGCACTAGAGCCCAGGTATGTTTCAGTTGGCGTACCTTTTGACCTTCATTTTGCATTTGGTATTCACAATGTTTCTTCAACTTAACTTTTTGGGGGGGCGCCGGGGCTGGGGTCCTGGCCTGGCCGCCAACGTCTTGAAGTTTTGGGATTTAGGTCTCAGTCTTAGTCTACAGGAAAGTCTCATGAGTACAGACTGACACAACACCAACTAAGTCAGGAAGCCCTATTGAAACCTGCTCCTCACCGAGACAAGCTCATCGATGTATTCTTCAATTCAAACGACCCACTGGATGTTGAGACAGCTCGTCATTTGCGAACGTGGCAGAGTAGTTTGGCATCTCTTCGGTGGCATGAGGTCTTGAATTTTGTGGTGGAGTTGAGACGCATTCAACAGGGATTGAAAGCGACACCTGGTTTTCGGTACTGGGTAATGTTTTTTTTCCTTCAGTGACTAGTGACTATTGTTATGAACTGAGGCTGAGTCAATGACATGAAATACGATTTGTTACATGCATTTTCGAGGAAATGGAACCTGCAACAATATTCGGCCAGCTTACCAAAGGAACGTGAAGGCCATTTGGTAGAGGGCAGAGGTGCCCTAGGGTCCAAGCTGACAAAGCTAGCAGATGAAGCAATTGCATCGAGTTTCTTCTGGGCCTACGCCC